AATCTTAATATGTATAATTACGACATTGTTAATTTCCAGATGGTAATCTTAATATGTATAATTACGACATTGTTAATTTCCAGATCGTAATCTTAATATGTATAATTACGACATTGTTAATCTCCAGATGGTAATCTTAATATGTATAATTACGACATTGTTAATTTCCAGATGGTAATCTTAATATGTATAATTACGACATTGTTAATCTCCAGATGGTAATCTTAATATGTATAATTACAACATTGTTAATCTCCAGATCGTAATCTTAATATGTATGATTACGACATTGTTAATCTCCAGATGGTAATTTTAATGCCTATACTTATGACATTGTTAATTTCCATATGGTAATCTTAATGTGTATAATTACGACATTGTTAATCTCCAGATGGTAATCTTAATATGTATAATTACGACATTGTTAATTTTTAGATTATCATCTGGAAATTAACAATGTCGTAATTATACATATTAAGATTACCATCTGGAAATTAACAATGTCGTAATTATACATATTAAGATTACCTTGTTAATCTCCAGATGGTAATCTTAATATGTATGATTACGACATTGTTAATCTCCAGATGGTAATTTTAATGCCTATACTTATGACATTGTTAATTTCCATATGGTAATCTTAATGTGTATAATTACGACATTGTTAATCTCCAGATGGTAATCTTAATATGTATAATTACGACATTGTTAATTCTCTAGATGGTAATCTTAATGTGTATAATTACAACATTGTTAATCTCTAGATGGTAATCTTAATGTGTATAATTACGACATTGTTAATCTCCAGATGGTAATCTTAATGTCTGTACTTACGACATTGTTAATCTCTAGATGGTAATCTTAATGTCTGTACTTACAACATTGTTAATCTCTAGATGGTAATTTTAATGTCTGTACTTACAACATTGTTAATCTCTAGATGGTAATTTTAATGTCTGTACTTACAACATTGTTACTCTCTAGATGGTAATCTTAATGTGTATAATTACGACATTGTTAATCTCTAGATGGTAATCTTAATGTGTATAATTACGACATTGTTAATCTCCAGATGGTAATTTTAATGTCTGTACTTACGACACTGTTAATCTCCAGATGGTAATCTTAATGTCTGTACTTACGACACTGTTAATCTCCAGATGGTAATCTTAATGTATGTACTTACGACACTGTTAATCTCCAGATGGTAATCTTAATGTCTGTACTTACGACACTGTTAATCTCCAGATGGTAATCTTAATGTCTGTACTTACGACACTGTTAATCTCCAGATGGTAATCTTAATGTATGTACTTGCTGAAGACTTAATTCCCACAATCTACTTTCTCAATGTTTCTATTTGCTAAAGTCCCACTTCCCACCAACTTCTTTTTTAATGTTTTTAAACTTCTACATCATTAAATCCCACAGGCTACATTCGTAATGTTTGTATTTGTAACATCTTTAATTTCCATATAACAATCTCAATATTTATATTAGTTACATTTAATTCCCATTGTCAACATTCTTAATATTTTTCTTTCCTACGTTGGACTACAATATTAAAGTTGTTTTTATCAAAATGTACTTGTACCTTTAATGATGAATGTGATCATGTCTCACTTTTAAAGATGAAACATAGTACAGAAATAAATCTATTTTTCCACAAATAGCAGTCTCAAAACACATGTTTTGTCAATTTTAAGTTCAAATTGTGTTTCCTATAAAGTTTTTTCCTTAAAATACTAAAGCCTTCAGGCAAACTTGACAAAAATCATAACTACAAAGTAAAGATCTACCTAATTATAGGTTCTTGTTCAGTTCCATGACTATAAAGTAAAGATCTGCCTAATTGTAGGTTCTTGTCCAGTTCCATGACTATGAAGTAAAGATCTAATTAAAGGTTCTTGTCCAGTTCCATGACTATTAAGTAAAGATCTATCTAATTAAAGGTTCTTGTCCAGTTCCATGACTATGAAGTAAAGATCTACTTAATTATAGGTTCTTGTCCAGTTCCATGACTATAAAGTAAAGATCTACCTAATTAAAGGTTCTTGTCCAGTTCCATGACTATAAAGTAAAGATCTACTTAATTATAGGTTCTTGTCCAGTTCCATGACTATAAAGTAAAGATCTAATTAAAGATTCTTGTCCAGTTCCATGACTATTAAGTAAAGATCTAATTAAAGGTTCTTGTCCAGTTCCATGACTATAAAGTAAAGATTTATCTAATGATAGGTTCTTGTCCAGTTCCATGACTATAATATTTAAAAGGCACTTTTTTAGGTAACACAACATTTTACTGCCCACAAATAATTATGTTCTGGAAATAAAACATTTCCTAGTACAGTGAACAAGTTTATTCTCAAAACTTTCAGTGAACTAATAAACTATCACATTAAACTTGATTAAAAATAAAATTGAAAAATAAAGCAATTGAACAAGTTGCTGGAGAAACATAATAATTAGCTGGGAAAAAAAAAAGGCTATCACTATATAGCAAACACATACATCATTATTTTATGACATAAATTTCTGGTCAACTTTTTTTGGCATGATAACAGTTGATTTTATAATGTTCCAACAATATAATTTCTATACATGTAGAAACCCTTAAAATTAAATAACTGTTTGCTGCATCTCTTTGCCAGTAGTAAAATGTTGTGGCAGTCACATGTCAGCAGTGCAATGACTGGAAGTAAAATGATAGCAGTAATATGTCGTAGAACCATTTTTTTTAAATCAATCTATCTGTATCAATTTTTTACAAATATCGATCTAACAAAACGTTATTGTCCAGCTCAACACTACAAGTAAAGTTTGAAAGGCATTTTTTTGTATATATCTATCTGTATCAATTTTTCACACAGTGTTGAAACAGTAGGAAACCACAGCTGCAAATGAGTTTGATCTAGTGAGACTAACTTCAAATTGTGGCTACATGTGATGAAGCAAGAATCTATAATAATAAAAGGGGTATGTCTATGGGTTTGTGTGTGACTTACATAACTCCAAGAGGAAAGAACCTAGAAACCTGAAATTTTGCACCCATACTAAGTGGACCCTAAGGGTGTGCATCTGGATATTATTACTTATCCATGTGTGTGCACTCGTGCATTTTTTTGTGAGGCAAGCTAGGGAAAACCCACATAGAAAAAAATATGTGACCACTATAGCACAAGAGCAAACAACCTAGAGACTTGAAATTTTGCACCCATACTAAGTGGACCCTAAGGGTGTGCACCTGGGTATTATTACTTATCCACATGCATGTGCAAGCACATCTTTCTGTGAGGCAAGCTTGTGAAAAACCACATAGGAAAGAAGTGGTTCCATATATTACAAATTATAGATATAAATCACTGATAGACAGACACACACATGCATGTGTGTATGTGTGCGCATGCATGTACATCGTTTTAATGAGGCAATCTAGCAAAATACAAAAAATAGAAAAAAAGTGGTTCCTTGTGTTTTGGTAACAGTGCATTTCAATAATGACTTTTATATCATGTTACTTAGCAATAAAAGTATAACCTAATATTGTTGTTAAGAGGTTATGTGCCGAAAGCATGAAATGAAATGTATAAACTACAAAATTAAATATATATATATATTTATTGTTTTCTAATTTAGAGGCTCCATTAACTAAAGAGGTTTGTTTTTTATTATTTGTTTTTATTATTTAAGTTTAAAATCTAAGGACAAGTCAGAGGGAAGGTTACCTTTATAAACAGGCCACATCCCTTAAGAGACCAACAAAAGTATATAGGTTATACTTTTATGTTCAAATGGGTTCACAATACACACACTGACATAGTCATCTAGAATAAATCAAGTCAAGTGAAGCCAGGTACTATCGCTAGCAGTAAATAAAATGTATTTTCTGTAGTACAATTTGAAAATACAAAGAAATGGTTAACTTGATGTAAGGGAAAAATTATGATGATAACATTATGGACAAGTGACCTAATGGCAATTTTAACCATTTCTTTGTATTTTGTGTAAAGAAAATTACTTCAATAGGTCAGAAAGTAAACAATAGGTTACATACCCATGTTGCATGTACATAAAACTTTAGGGAAGAAACAAGTCTTAGAACATGCCATCATACTTATACTTTACATATTTCTTTGGCTAAACTGTAATAAAAGTATTCAATCTACTTCCCTGATATCACGGAAATTAAAGTTTCTAATCTTACTACAATATTTCATCTATATGTACATGTTTTTGTTATTTTTGTAATTAAACCCTTCACTCACAGTCAACAACACAAAACCACTAATTAGTTATATAAAAGATCAATACTTACTCCACTTTCGACCCTAAAACTTCAGATATCACAGCATTTGAACAAGCCTTCTTTTTTTCTTTCAATTCTGTTTTTTCAGTAGCTTTTCTTTTACAAGTTTTCACTTCATCTGTTCTACGTGATTTACCATTCTTACAGTGAAAAGACTCTTTACTTCGTTGTGCTGCCTTTTGCCTCTCCTTTTTCACTTCACGCATCTTTTTTATATCATTCTTGTTGGAGGAAGATTGAGGAACACCACCTGTCCTTATTTTAATATCACTGTCTTCTGGAGAGTACGTCCTTTTAATAGGTAACTTTAACGGTATGGAAGGTACCCTATCAATTAAATCACAATTTATACTCACTATAATATGTGGAATGGTTCTCAGTTGCATTTCACTTTGTGACTCAAAACTTTCTTCTGTTAAATGTGCCCATGTCTCTGGTTGGCTAGTAGGAGGTTCCAACCTTTTACAGACACTGTAGTATTCTGCAGTCTTCTTGTTCACGCCTTCCATCGAGTCTCCTTGGGCAACACTGTCAATAACTTTCATTACACTTTCAGAAGCTTCTTTTGACTTGAGTTTGATTCCTGCATGTTTTGAGTGCTTACCCAGTTTAGTTGTTGAAGACTGGATGGGAGAAGAAATCTTATTACTGGTATTCAGTAGTTGGACTGGAGAGGTGAAACCCAAAATATCAACATCACTATCATCTGACCTTGACAAGGAAAGCTTTGATAAACACTTTTGAGGTGTTGTTTTTTTCATCTCATTAATTTCACCATTGTGAATAACTACTGAGGCATGCTTTTTTGAATCATTCTCACGTGACTTTGGTGTTGATTCTCTTGGTGTTCTTTTTTTGTGCTTTATTTCTATTCTGTTGATTTTGTTTTCTTCTCGTTCACCTTCTGTGTGTTTAATACAATTAGATGGTCTTTCTAAATGCTTCTTCTTACCTACAGTGTTTTTCAAACCTTCACAAGCCTTCGGCAATTCTAACTGAATTTTCTGGCCAGTGATGCCATTACAATTAATTAGTTTCTCCAGATGCTTCATCTCATCTACAGTAGATTTGACACCTTCTTTGTAGACCTTTGACAATGCTAAATCAAATTTCTGCTCACTAGAACTATTATCCAACTGAAATTCTAACCTCTTTTTTGATAAGGGTGAGGAACCAGAATCCGTTTCTACAGTATGAAAAGGTTGAAATGTTCTCACATCTTTGTAGGACTTATCAACATCCTCAGTCTTATCCACTGATGTTTGGTCTCCATTCCTAAGTGGAGAACAAAACACATTGTCTTTAACATCCAAACACCTATGTGAATATTCTTTATCATCTTGGCACTGCTGAGCATGGGACAAGAAAGGCTCCTCTCCTTTCAAGGAATGTGGTAAATGCACAGGAGAGAGTACAACTCTTATGTCAGTTGTCATAAAGCCAGTTGACGAACAAAACTCTGTACTTGATCTGTAAAACACACACACACACACATATGGTTTACCCAAATTATTGGTATAAAATCAACATGCATCTAATTTTATCAAAATAATTGGTAAAAGTCATTTTCATTAATTTCTTGCATATTAACACAAGAGCACTTGTGACAAATCATTTGGTTGATACATGAGGAAATAGAAATAAAATAAGCATTAAGTATTACCATAAGAAAGAAATGGTAAGAACAAAAAAAGCTTGTGAAGACAGTAAAATGAGAAAGCAAACATTTAAAAAACTTTAACAGCTAAAACAGTAAAAAAAAAAAAAGAGGACTATGAAAATAAATTTTTACAAGAAGAGGGGTATGGAATATTAGTTTCTATCTCTGTAAAGCAAGATAATGAGAGGATACAAGTTCAGATTATGTCTTAGCAATATCTATACTACGAGTGTGAACTTTTTCTTAAAACTCAGAAGCTCAAATAGAAGTCAAAACAATATCTAAAATGGCCAATTTGGAGCAAAGAAGTGTCATGTGATACAGAGAAGTGGTGATTGAGAATTTATTAAAATATTTACTTTTGAAATTAAGAAATTCAGACTTAGATGATATAAAAATCAGAATTATAAACTATATATTGATGCCAAATTTATTCACATACACTGATAATAAAGAATTCAATTACATTTTGAAATTAACACTGTAAATATATTGTGACATGCATTTTTACCAACTGTTATCCAGAGGTCTGAGGTCAAAATAGAAAGAAGAATACCCATTCAGGAGTATAATATTAAGGTGTTGATGGATAAAAACAACTCTAACACCTGTAGTGTTCCTAATAAAGTGGAGAAAGAGAAAAGTAAGCCTGTATAGGTGGAGATAGAAAAGAGCTAGCCTGTGTAAGAATATTACAGTGTGTAAAGGTGGAGACAGAGAAGATCTAACCTGTTTATGAATATTACAGTGTGTAAAGGTGGAGACAGAGAAGATCTAACCTGTTTATGAATATTACAGTGTTATGGTGGAGACAGAGTAGGGCTAACCTGTTTAAGAATATTACAGTGTGTTAGGGTGGAGACAGAGAAGATCTAACCTGTTTATAAATATTACAGTGTATTACGGTGGAGACAGAGAAGATCTAACCTGTTTATAAATATTACAGTGAGTTACGGTGGAGACAGAGAAGATCTAACCTGTTTATAAATATTACAGTGAGTTACGGTGGAGACAGAGAAGATCTAACCTGTTTATGAATATTACAGTGTTACAATGGATACAGAGAAGAACTATATCAATCACTGAGATAAAAGATAGTGCCATAATATATTTGAAACATTATTATAAGGAACCATTCTCTTGCCAGTATAACCACCTTTACCACAGTAGCTAAATAGAAGACAAAAGCTATTGATGAGCATAACATGAAGTTCGGGTAAAAGTGGAAAGTTAGATTGTTTATCCATCCGTTTATCTGAAATACTATTAGACCAGTCACACCACTATATTCAAAATTCAATATGTACTTCTATTCATATTTCAGCTGTTTTACAACAAGAACAAATAAAAAGATACAAACATTTAGTTTATATCAACTTTTATAAATAGCAGACAAAAGGAAAAGGACTGCTTCAACACACAGTGTTATGGGGGCCACAAATAAGAATATAAATAATTAACAATATAAAAAAGAGAAGGTGTGTCTGACAATTTAACAATACAGCAATGGAGATGGTGTTGTGTCTAACAATTTAAACAATATGACAGTGGTGTGTAACAATTTAAACAATATGACAGTGGTGTGTAACAATTTAAACAATATGACAGTGGTGTGTAACAATTTAACACTATGACAGTGGTGTGTAACAATTTAACACTATGACAGTGCTGTGTCTAACACTATGACAGTGCTGTGTCTAACACTATGAAGGGTTTGATTAATATAAAAATATATTAATAGTAATAATAAAACAAAAGATGACAAAAAAGTGAAGGGTTTAATGAATATAAAAGTATATTAATAGTAATAATAAAACAAAAGATGACAAAAAAGTGAAGGGTTTAATTATTATAAAAGCATATCACTAGTGATAAAACAAGAGAGGCTTCAAATGCAGCAACAATGATATATACATATGAAACTTTCACAAAAAGATAATGGTAAAAAAGTACTAAAAACAGTAAAGACTAATGAAAGCAACAAAAGGTTAATTAGTTTTTTACAGAAGAAACATTATAAATACCTCCTGAGGCTTTTATTCTGTTCTTCTTTTGAGACGCTGCTTATAGGATCCTGAGTTACAATTTGGTTAACTTTAATTTCTGAGTCTTTAGATTGTTCCTCACCCAAAGACAAGTTATTAAGAGGTTTCCAAGGAGATGAAGTTTGTTTGTCCACAAAATTTGCTAAACGCCAACTCTGAGTAGGAGGCTACAAACAAAAGAAAGTTGTTTTATATATTATTATTATTAATCGGTTATAACAAGGAAATGACTGAAATAAGTCTCCATCTTCAGGAGCAAACTACAATAGTAATTTACATACTCATAGAAAGTTTGTGTGTTTTTCTAACAAATGTATTTATAACTTATAGTACCCACAAATAGTCATAATGAGCAAATCATAAGCAGTTTACTAAGCACGTCACTTCACACTCAACAACCACGACCATGTTGATCATCAAGGGATATGCTACACAAGGACTATCTGTGCCAGCTATCCTGAATTGATAAACTAGAGAGAAAGCTGCTCGTCAACAATACCAACAGCAAACTAAATAGCTTTAAACTCGTAACAGTACACATCTATTAATACTTAAATTTTATTGTTTTATTGCCCTTTGAATTGTGCTTAACTATTATTTGTACCATTATAAGTTGTAAATCACTTGGGAAATGTGCAGCTCATGTTATGCTACTGATTTACATTATGCACAAGATACTCGCAAGCGTACCTCATGAAAACGTTTTTATCATATTATTATTTACTTTACCTAATCTAACCTTAACATAAAAATTTTCCAATTTTTACATTTTAGTTTCTGTTATAATAAAAAACAAAGAATACACATGAAAAACAAGAAATAATTGCACTTCCCTTTTTTTGCTGTCAACTGTTCATGACACAACCACTTTTTTATACTTATGGTAGTACTGCACTAAGTTTTTCATTTAATTAAATAATGCACCAAAGAACACAGAATAATAACATGCAAAAAGTAGACAATCTCCCATAACTATAACAATTTCTCTGGCTTTCTAACTATATGTGTGTGACAAGAGCCCTTACAAATTCATCTAAGCTAGATGATGTGTCTTCTGTGGGAATAAAGCTTGTACTGAAAGTGAAATTGACAATTCTCTGTAATATAATATGTATTTTGATAGATGAAAACATTGGCTTTCTATTGGATATAAATAATATTGAACATTAGAGAGAATTCCTGCTATTTCTGAAAGAGAGAGGATGTGACAGGTACGTATGGTAAAAAATGTCTGTTTTTCTATTTGATGATTCTGTGACCAAATGAGATTGAAGACCATGAAAATTATGCTTGGCCTGAGTGATGATGACATTACAATGAGTAATTTACATTAAATTTCATACTTTTGGAGGGGTGGTAAATAAAGTATAGAAGAGGAGATGTCTAGAGAGAAAATATCACAAACCTCACACTATTAGAATTCAGTATTTTTTCTAAATATTGCCTTCTAAAATTAAGAACTTACAGCTTATATACTATTAAAATATGGATTATTAGCACGTTTATTGGTATACCATGAAAAGAAAGTAGTTCAATTAAATTTTTAATGGAAATCACTAAAAACCTGGTGACTTGCTCACAAAAAAAGATGCCTGTGAAGAGGGTCAAAAATCAGCTATTACATTTTAATTTAAACTGATATTCATAATTTTAGACTTTCTGATTTTTGTCAGAAGTTTAGATTCAAAATCTATAGCATCAACTAATGACAATAACTTTCTAAACATTACTCAATCCTACTAATAGTAATCAATTTTCTAATGACAATGAATGGCTAAAACTATTTGAAACATGTGAGGAACATCTGTTTATCTAGGTTCAATAGTTCTTTTGAGTAAATTGAAACCTGTCTACTCCAGTTGTTACCTTTTCAGAGGCAGATATTTTATTAGATGTACTGCTGTCAGTATCTTCAGAGTCAGTGTCTGAGGTACTGTCTTCGGATTCACTGGATCTACTGTCAGAGCTGGCTGATACTGCTTGTGGGAGGGAAGCTGGACAGTGGTCACCATTCTGTGATAACCTAGGACAAGTAATATAAACATGAAAAATACTTAAAATTTATCTACTCTAGACACATTTTAAAATGGTGAATTATACTGATAATACTAGAGAAGTTAATAACACAATAACAGAAAGTTAACCAGCTTAAAATCATTTCCATTATGTCTTAACTAAGTGTTGTTAATCACACAATAACAGAAGGTTAACCAGCTTAAATAACACTTCCATTACATCATAACTAAATGTTGTTAATCACACAATAAAAGAAAGACAACCAGCTTAGATATCACTTCCATTATGTCTTAAATAAATGTCGTTAATCACACTTCAGCATAAGACTTCAAAGCTTGAAGATATTTTAATCATCTCTGAGCTACAATGTATTAGTTGTACTTTCACAGGAAACTTGTCTTCTCAAAAATCTCATATTTATAACATAGCTTTGGGTTGGATACAAAATATGATATATAAAACTAACCTGCTAAAGTTAAGACGAGCTTTAACTTTGTCTCTCGGTTGAGATGTGGCCTGTGAATAAAGAAATATACACTGTTTGTTTAACACACTCTACCCAAAAACAGAGAATATCATGAGATTTCTTTTATGTATTAGCTGAAATAACTAAACAATAACCATTTACAACACTACTTACGGGTTTACCATAAGTGTTACTGATAGAAACAAATGATAAACAAAAACATTTACAACACTACTTACGGGTTTACCATAAGTGTTACTGATAGAAACAAATGATAAACAAAAAACATTTACAACACTACTTACAGTTCTACCATAAGTGTTACTGATAGAAACAAATACTGATAAACAAAAACATTTACAACACTACTTACGGGTTACCATAAGTGTTACTGATAGAAACAAATGATAAACAAAAACATTTACAACACTACTTACGGGTCTACCATAAATGTTACTGATAGAAACAAATGATAAACAAAAACATTTACAACACTACTTACGGGTCTACCATAAGTGTTACTGATAGAAACAAATGATAAACAAAAACATTTACAACACTACTTACTGGTCTACCATAAGTGTTACTGATAGAAACAAATGATAAACAAAAAACATCATATCTATGTTGGTTACATAACAGTCAAATGAATCAATGCACACACCTGACAATATTTTCATAAAATGCCAGAATACTGGGTGTAGATTCATTCAAGAATTACATGTGGCTACTGTGGAAGACTAAATGGTTAAAAAAAGTGCCTTACAATCTCAGTGAAAAGAATGTTCACTTGGCATACAGGAGCTATTAGGTCTAATAAAAATTAGTTTAATAACTTAATCTGTGGTATTCGTAGGTAACAAGAGGTTTGTTAAGGTTCATTTAGAATAGTTATATTTAAGTTTGGCTCAACAGATTAAAACAGTTTATTTATTTACTGATTTGCAGTATTACTATCAGACTGATGCTCTGTGACGAGATTTCCAAAAGACTGGATTGCAACCATGGAAGATTTCAGTTGTAGTAACATCGGAAAATATCTTATTTTTCTGTAAAATTTACATTAAAAAAAATAGCAACTTTATGTTTTACTTAATAACTCTAAAAAAAATTGTGACCATTCTTTAGAAAAATCACATATTAATGTATCTGCAAACTGGGACTTTCCTTCCTAGTGTAACCAACAGAACGATGTGGAAACAGAACTACAAATAACAAGTCTACAACAATGTTTGGATAAACTAAAACAAGCAGCTAGCTAGTATTAAAAGATACAAGTCACAGTTCTCCTTCCTCAGCTTTTAGTTGACATTAATTCTATGTCTTCTAGTATTCCCACATTTTTTACTAATGAAATATTAAATAAAACATTATTATTCATATTATTAAAGTTTCTGAGAAATATTTTAATATAAGGTCTCAGTCAAGGTGGTATTTCCAGAGAAATAGGCCATGTCACGTAAATATTTGGAAACCACTGCACCGTGATGAGGCATGATCAACGTGCATTAATGCTAGCAGGTTCATGCTGATATAGTACAACTGAGAAGTAATACCAGCAAAGAAGTGCCATATGGTACGGCATGATTGATGTCAAGTAATATTATCTTGACATCAATTATGCCGTACCATGTAGCATCAGTCTGATAATATTACTTGACATTAATCATGCTGTACCATATATCATCAGTCTGATAATATTACTTGACATCAATCATGCCGTACCATATATCATCAGTCTAATAATATTACTTGACATCAATCATGCCATATCATGTAGCATCAGTCTAATAATATTACTTGACATCAATCATGCTATATCATGTAGCATCAGTCTGATAATATTACTTGACATCAATCATGCCATATCATGTAGCATCAGTCTGTAATATTATCAGACTGATGCTACATCAGTCTGATAATATTACTTGACATCAATCATGCCATATCATGCTTGTAGTAAGTTCTCTAACATGTATGTTTTATTTAGTATCAAGTACTTGTAGTAAGTTCTCTGACATGTATGTCTTATTTAGTATCAATCATGCCATACCATGTAGCATCAGTCTGATAATATTACTTGACATCAATCATGCCATATCATGTAGCATCAGTCTGATAATATTACTTGACATCAATCATGCCGTACCATGTAGCATCAGTCTGATAATATTACTTGACATTAATCATGCTGTACCATATATTACTTGATACTAAATAAAACATACATGTTCTTGTAGTAAGTTCTCTTACTTGATACTAAATAAAACATACATGTCAGAGAACTTACTACAAGTACTTGATACTAAATAAAACATACATGTCAGAGAACTTACTACAAGTACTTGATACTAAATAAACATACATATCAGGGAACTTACTACAAGTACTTGATTACTTGATACTAAATAAGAAATACATGTTAGAGAACTTACTACAAGTACTTGATACTAAATAAAACATACATGTTAGAGAACTTACTACAAGTACTTGATACTAAATAAAACATACATGTTGAGAAAGAGATGGTGTAAAATCTGAAGTGATATCAATAGCTAACATCATGCTCATGCACACATGCATTACAATGTCAACAAAAACAGGTCAGACCTACCGTTTCATCATCACTATCACTTATCACCAGGTCATCCTGAAGACTGAACCTAGAAAACAAAAATTATAACAGAAAAACATGTTTCTTACTGTATATACAGAGTATAACAAGTATGGTTACAACATTTCACCAGGTTAACCTGGCACCATCATCTACAATAGTAAACAAGTTTTTCACTTATACTAACGGAGTACTTCCTTTAACTATTTAAAAATTGTAACAGAAATACATGGCAAACAAACTTTACTGATGAACAAGAAAGAAGTTAAAATCATGTTGAAATCTGTGTGTTTAGTAGCACTTATCTTTTAGTTAATTTTTAACTCCGCTTTACTAAATATGCATGTTTCAACATGTATGTTTTATCTGTTTGGTTGAGTTAGTATTTAAATAATGTGTTAAGTTGCTTATGTTTGATCTGTTCAAGCTATTACATTTGATGTTTTGACCTGTTGAAATTTTTCTGTTTATCTTACTTTAAATACATTTATTATATTTAATGAATTTTGTTTTAACACTTTTAAATTGTTTTTCTTTACTGTGTTATTACATTTAATGTGCTATGTTCAGCTCTTTTGAATTTCGTGTTTGAGTAGTGTTGTATCAGATGTGTTGAAGTTCTTGTGTTTAATTTGCTTTGTTCAAATGTGTTTATTGTAATATATTACATTCAGCTTGTGTTTAATTTGCTATGTGTGTTTATTGTAATATCTTACATTCAGCTTGTGTTTAATTTGCTATGTGTGTTTATTGTAATATATTACATTCAGCTTGTGTTTAATTTGCTATGTGTGTTTATTGTAATATCTTACATTCAGCTTGTGTTTAATTTGCTATGTGTGTTTATTGTAATATATTACATTCAGCTTGTTTAATTTGCTATGTGTGTTTATTGTAATATCTTACATTCAGCTTTTGTTTAATTTGCTATGTGTGTTTATTGTAATACATTATATTCAGCTTGTGTTTAATTTGCTATGTGTGTGTATTGTAATATCTTACATTCAGCTTGTGTTTAATTTGCTATGTGTGTTTATTGTAGTACATTACATTCAGCTTGTGTTTAATTTGCTATGTGTGTTTATTGTAATACATTATATTCAGCTTGTGTTTAATTTACTTTCTTTAAATGTATGTTTATTGTAGTACATTACATTCAGCTTGTGTTTAATTTGCTTTCTTTAAATGTACGTTTATTGTAGTACATTACATTCAGCTTGTGTTTAATTTGCTTTCTTTAAATGTATGTTTATTGTAGTACATTACATTCAGCTTGTGTTTAATTTGCTTTCTTTAAATGTATGTTTATTGTAGTACATTACATTCAGCTTGTGTTTAATTTGCTTTCTTTAAATGTATGTTTATTGTAGTACATTACATTCAGCTTGTGTTTAATTTGCTTTCTTTAAATGTATGTTTATTGTAGTACATTCAGCTTGTGTTTATTTGCTTTGTTTAAATGCATTTTTATTGTAGTACATTACATTCAGCTTGTGTTTAATTCGCTTTGTTTAAATGTATGTTCATTGTAATATATTATATTCAGCTTGTGTTTAATTTGCTTTGTTTAAATGTATGTTCATTGTAATATATTACATTCAGCTTGTGAACTTATTGTTTAATTTGCTTTGTTGAAATTTATGTTTATTGTGTGGTTGAAATATTGTCATACGTTCTTATTTGCTTTTGAACTTAACTTTTAGAATTAACAAAGTATTTAAGGTATGTAAATGAAATTACCTCAGTCAAGATAAACAAAAGGAGTTCAACAGTGTTTAAGAGATAAATATATTTAAAGCAAATTAAGCAATAAGTTCAACAGAGCTGAATGTAATATATTACAATAAACATACATTTCAACAAAACAAATTAAACAATAAGTTCAACAGAGCTGAATGTAATATATTACTATTTCTCATACCCAACAAGGCCTTTTTCCCATTACCAGGGTTCAGCTGTGATACAACACGCATGGTAATGGATGAAATACTTCTGAAATTATCAAATCGCATAAAGATTTTCCCCCAAGGTAACTAAATGAAAATTTAGTTTGTTTGATTTTTTCAGTGTTTATTTAAAGGCCATCTTAGGAGCTCAGTTAAGAAAACAAGAATGTAATTAACTAGCAAAAAAACTTACGACTGAGATCCACTTCCATCTTTCGTCTCTTCCACATTTTTTACTATAAACAAAGAATCGAAAACATGTTAATTTAACAATACACACTGACTGTAAACTGACATATTTTAAAAATCTACCATTTGGTTGCTACAGTAATTTGTATCAATAGCCATCCAGAAAACCAAAGTTTGTTTACCACAGTAACTTGTGTCAAGAGCCATGTAGAAATCCATAGTTTGGTTGCTACAGTAATTTGTATCAATAGCCATGTAGAAAACCAAAGTTTGTTTACCACAGTAACTTGTGTCAAGAGCCATGTAGAAATCCATAGTTTGGTTACTACAGTAACTTGTGTCA